GCACAAAGCCCTGGCTCAATTGCTAGAATATACGTACATACATACATACATACACATACACCATGTTGGAGAAGAGAAAGGCTTAGATTCCACCATGAAGGCAGTTCTGAATAAAGTAATTAATTATGAAATAACTTACACAACCCACATTCTTCCTGGATGCCCCTGGGCATCAGGAAGACAAATTGGTGCTATATGCCATGCTTAGGACTTTTTTAAATATATATACTGCCAAAGAGATTTTGAAATGGGTTATATAAACCATATGGTAGTGATGATAAAGAAGAATTCAGCATGGCCTTCAGAATTACACATGCACTGTCATTTCTGAGACCTTCAGCCCTCATCTCTCTGCCTTCCAGAATAAACTGTGGAACTTTCTAAGCCTGGCATTTTGTAGGGAGGATGCCATAAGCCCTTGCATGTATAAATAGTGCCACACTGGCATGACTAAGGGGCTACTGATGACCTCATCAGCCTGACCCTATATGTAGTATCCTCACAATGAACTCACTAAGCAGTAAGGCTCTAATGATAGCAGAGGAATTGTACTTTGGATGTGCAACTTTATCCTAATAATCCTTGGACCCCAAGTATTTTATCTTCAGATGTGGCTTAGTGAGGCCTGGAGCACACCTTTGTGAATACTAGAGGAATAGACAGGAAGGCCTATCCCAGAGACATGCAGAATTGACCGAGTCTAGAGGGAAGGATAGCTCACCTATCCAGAGTGCATGGCAGGAGAGCCCAGGTTCTGCACTCAAATGACACAGAGAACATGCATTGAGGATGATGTCTCCTCAGTGTGGGTGTCACCACAGTGTTTTAGGAAAGAGAGGCAGCACTGGTTGACACTCTGAAGACAGTGCACCTATGGATCAGAAAAGAAAGTCATGTGTTCTACCACCTCATATTCAGGTGACAGGATGAAGGGATTCAAACAAGGACTTGGTAGTGGGCAGAGCCAAGTGTAGAACCTGGGGCAAGTGTGGAGCCCGCACACTTTCTGGGACACACCTAAAGAATTCAGAAGTTCTCAAGAGCTGTGCAGTGCTGAAGAGTGACCCCACCCCAGTTCCTTTCCCTGTCCTAGGTGCTGCTTAGGGCCAGTGAAGAGCCAGAGGCCACACAAGCTCACTCCCTTTACAGTCACGCGCCCTTACACATTCAGTGCCGCTTTCCCTCCTCTGCCTGCGCTACAGGGTGAGTTCCAGACCAACCTGAGATACTTAACAAAATGAAAAAGTGGTTAAGTGCTTGCTAGCATGTGGGAGCCCCTGAGTTCAACACCTAGCACCATTAGAAAAATCAAGATCGCAGACCACGGAAGATGCAGCAAAGGGAAGAGAAGTAAAGAACTGGGGAAATAGGAATGGGCATTCAGAGTGGGAGTGGGAGCTCAGAGAGCTTCTAGTTGTATAGTTGTATGGACTTCTGTGGAGAGACCAGAAAGACAGCTCACGGACTCAACATTTGGAGCCAAATACTCAGGACCCTGGCAGGTCTGGCTTCTCATCACAGACCCTCCTGCTGGGACCCTGAGTGCACAGTTGCTCTAGGCAGCACTGAGAGGTGCCAGTGTGCTTAGTCTGCCTGGGATGACAGTCAACTGATGGTCATGCTCAGGGGGCCTTGCGTGGGAGACAGTGGGAAACCCTAGCATTTTAAAATCTATGCGGTGCTAGTTAGCACAGAAAGCCAAAAGGGTAGGAGAATGAGAGAAAAAGAAAGTGGAGAGAGCAAGACAGCCTGTGTGGAGCTGCCTGATGGTAGAGAAAATACTGTCAGAGCCACCTCCCCTCCTTGTCTCCCCAAGACTCTGGTGGACACTTCTGTTGAACTCTGTCTTAGATAGCATGCTGCTATCACAGGGAAAAGTTTGGAATTTTAGTAAGCAGACATTGTAAGCATGGAATAGGGTCATGAAGGAATATATCCAACTTTCAGATGAAGCAAAGTTAGACTTGGACAATCCTTAACAGACCTTGGAAATGCCATTGCATGTACTGGGTTAAATATATAAGGGTAAAACCACACAAGACTGCTGACAACCCATTAAAACAGTAGCTTTACACCTGTCCCTGATGTTGCTGAGAAAGGGTCCTCAGAGCTGCACTTCTTGCAGGGGAGGGATGGTCCTTTTACTAGGGTTATACTGAATGTGGCCCTGGTGCCCAGGGATGTGGAGTGCAAAGCAAGTGAGAGCACAGGCAGACAGGGAGCCCACCCTTGAGTTTGTTGCTTCTGCTGGTTTCCAGGGTTTCTCAGCCTCCTCCCTCAGTCAGTCCCACAGACTTTGCTCTTTCATTAGCATCTTCTTTCCCCATGCCCACCCACCTCACCCCAGCACTGGGACTCGGGTCCGCTTGACAACAGGTAATAGCAGGCGTTTCCTCGTCCTGTGACAGGACATCCTGGCGCCCCACAGTCTCTCCCTGGCTTTAAAACAGACCCAAGCACAGGAAAAAACCCAGCTCTAAAATTAGCAGTGTGATAGAAGAAAGGCACATAGCTGCTCTCTGTACTGTTTGTCAATGAAACAAGTCTAAACAGGCCAAATGCATTTCCTTTTTGGGCAAAACAGACCTGTCAGGATGATAGTCAGCTGGGAGGCACAGACGCTTCCCAAAGTGCCCTAGGACCACAGCCCTCATTGCTCTGGCATTTTCCACTGGTCTCCACTGAGATGGTCTAACCTCTCCAGAGGTTGTGCTGACCTTCAAATACTCAAAGTAGGGGTGTACTAACCCCGGTACCCTTCAGGAGGCCCTGATAGATGGCCTCCAAGACTGCCAAACATAATTGAATTTCAGTTAATGGAAGTTTTCCTCACTTTGATTTTCCTTCAGTGAGTATTTGGAAGCAATACTATTTTCTCATGAAACAGATGCATGCAGGAAGCCAGTGTCAGTCCTGCCACAAGACCCTGGCAAGTTCTGATGGCTCCAACTTAGAGTCTCTAGGATGTTTAAGGAAGAAAGGCAGCAATCAGGTTGATTATCACACTAGAAGTAGTTCCACAGTCAAGAACTATTACAGAAGAAAATAAACAACAATGAAAGAACTATTGTTCTCTTTCTTTTTTGCCACTAAGATGTCTTTTCATTTTTTTTATTTGTTATTTTTGAGGGGAGGTGGTTTTGACAGGGTCTCACCATGTAACTCTGACTAGCCTGGAACTTGCTGTGTAGACCAGGTTGGCCTTGAACTCACGGCGATCTGCCTGCCTCTGTCTCTAGAATGCTGGGATTAAAGACTAGCAAAGTATCTTTGTAAAACTCAGCTTTCCCTATGGCATTTTCAAAACCTTCCATTTCCTTCTTGAGAGGATGGTTTCAGATGGTGGAGGCCCTCACTTCAGTGGGAAGAGCTGTTTGTCTCATCAGTAGAGGGCAGAGTGAGAAACTTCTAACCATGCCCCATGTTGTACATTCAGTGGTGACGGTGGGAAGAGAGCAGGACTGACCCTCAGTCACATCTGCATGTCTCATCTCAGTGTTCCTCATATGCAGTGGGAGTTACAGAAATGACTTTGTATTGCAGCTGGGTAAACTGCAGCTGGCTCAGTGGGTGATTGGTTCACATTCACATTGGTAGAGCCAGGACACAAATCCAGCTTCCCTGCCACTGAGTCCTGGGTCCTTCCACAGTCCCCACCCCCCACCCTTTCCTGCCTCTGACTGACCACAGGGAAGTGACTTTCCCAGGACCATTCCGCCACACTATTCTTAGCATTCAGGGTAGCAGTGTTTCCTGACTCCCACCAGGCGTTCTCTAGCACATAAATACCGGTCAACCTCATTCTGGAAACTGTTTCTCAAGAAAGATAAAGGCCTAGGATCTATTATTCCTAGAATGATTCACTCCAGACTTCCTGCCGTTTCCCCTGTTAGGAGTGTACACTGGACACAGGAATGGCTGGCATTCTAGAACAAAAAGGAAAGGTTGCTTCAGAGTGTCCACACCCTGCTCCTGTGCACCTGTGGGCCCTCATTTCTGTCTGTAGACTGAATAGCTGGCATCCTTAGTGAGCTGCAAGAGGCTTGAGCTTCACCTAGTTGTTCATGATCCTAACAGCTCTGAGCCCACAGGATGGAGTAATGGAACCCTGGTCATTCGGAGGTCAGTCACATTTGGACAGTTGCCATGACGTCTACCAGCAGTCTAAACCTTTCACAGTTCTATGGATCATTTCTTGTGGTGACGCTACTCTTACCCTTTAAAAAGCAAATTTTCAGTGAGGCATGGTAGTGCACGCCTTTAATACCAGTGCTCAGGAGGCAGGGCAGGCGAATCTCTGAGTTTAAGACCAGCCTCATTTATGTATTGAATTCCAGGCCAGCCAGGGCTACATAATGAGATCTTGTCTCAAAGCAAGCAAGCAAACAAATAACAGCAAATTTGCTCCCATGTTGTCTGATCTTACACATAATACCCCCAGATCATTAGGCAGGTGGGTGGCTGATGCAGTACTACTCTGAGGCAGCTCTGCTCTCTGATGATCCAATGCCATGTAAGGTCAGGTTATGGTCTGCATCTGTGTTACAGCTAAGATAGGAGCATGTATGCATGTATGGGTGGGGATCTCTTGTCCATTCAGTCTATATGTAACATGTTTGCATGAGCTTCTCACTGGTCATGAGCAAGGATGTATACTGAGCCTTCTGAGTGGCTGTCAGCTGGGTGGGCTGGGACAGGCTGGGGCTGTCTCCTGCCTCTGCCCAGCATAAGCCAGCTCTTCACCAGCTGCTTCAAATTGGCATCAGGAGCACACTGTCATTCAGAAGGGCAAATATGGTACAGATTCTGTAGTCTTGGAAAAGCAGAACACCTTACTTCAGTATGCTAGAACCACCTTTAAAACAGAAATGGGCTTGACAAGTAAAAAGCCTGCAACCATACCTCAAATCACTCAGGGCCCTGGGGTATGCTTTCTCCATGATATCAAAAAGGCCTAGCAGGTCCACAGTGTGTCTAATCTGCCCACCTTGGGTACTTACTTGCCAGCTGGAATGCAGCAGCCATTGCCTCCTCCCAGCACTGGGATTCTGGTGACATCAGGGGCAGGCCCATCAGCCCAAGGACGAAGGTTATCTGACCCACGGCAAGTGCAGCTGTGGCCACCAGGTTGCAAGCACGCATCATGTCAAACTGTACTGTGGGCCAAAAGGAGGAAAAGAAGATGGTCAGTATGGTGAGCCACTTAGGGAAGAGGCAAGTCACATGGCCCTGGTCACATTCATCTTCAGTGATAGACACTTCCTTTCTAGGCCTCTATTGGACCTTTCAAAGAGCAACACAAACAGCTAGTATCGTCTCTAAACAGAACTTTCTGGAAGTACCTCACCTACTCTGTCTTCATGCTTTCCTGTCCTCTTTCCTGCCATTTCAGGATTCCCTAGCTTGGCTGCAGTAGTTACACACACACACACACACACACACACACACACACACACACACACACACACGCAATAGTTACACACACACAGACACACGCAGTAGTTACACACACACACACACACACACACACACACACACCCGGGCTGGAATGCTGCTCTGTGATTTGAGTCTGTGTGTGTGTGTGTGTGTGTGTGTGTGTGTGTGTGTGTGTGTGTTATATGCATGTGTGTACACATGGTACTGGGGCTGGAGGCAGGGGAGGGGGGCAGTAGACTTGCCAAGTATGTGCACATGGAGGCCAGAGATCAACGTCAAGTGTCTTCTCTATTACTCTCTAACTTATTTTTTGAAATAGGGCCTCCCTGCTTCTATATCTCATCATTTTGGCTAGACTGCCTGGGATCCTCCTGTCTCTGCCTTCTCAGTGCTGGGTTACAGGCATACTCCACTTCACACAGGTTTATTGTAAGTGCTGAAGACTCAAAGTCCGATCTTGCATAGCCAACAGTTTACTCCCTATCTTCTAGTTTGGATCTTAATAAGACAACTGTTACATTTTCACTCAGGTGCTGTATTATAATGGAGACTAGAAGGGAAGTCCCATCAACAGCAGAGGGTTTCTTACTTTGGATGGGTCCTATGGGCCCTCAGCTGCACTCCCCACTTAGCCATCCAGATACGCAAGAACTCAACAGTGGTTTTGGTTTTGATTTTTTGTTTTGTTTTGTTTTTTGTTGTTGTTGTTTTGTTTTGTTTTTTCTTTTCTTTTTGTGGTATTTTTTTATTTGTTTGTTTTTGAGGCAAGGTCTCTCTACATACATAACCCTGGCTGTCCTGGGAACTCTGTAGACCAGGCTGGTCTCAACCTCACAGATTCCTCCTCCTCTGCTTTCCAAGTGCTGGATTAAAGGTGTGGGGCACCACACCCAGTTTAAAACTCAGCATTACCTGTCCTTCCTATAGGCAAAAGTGATATTACTGGGCCTCTCTACCAGCAAAGGATAGAGCAGGAACCAGACCTGGGTCTGCTGAGCCCAGGCCCCCACCCTATATGCCTCTAATGCCCCATGCCCTTCCTTCATTCTATCAGCAGCTAGAGTGGTGCTCTAACCTTTGTGCTTGCCTTCCTTCTCCTTACTCTCTCTATGTTTTTGTTGTTTTTGAGACAGGGTTTCTCTATGTAACCCTGGCTGTCCTGGAACTTGCTCTGTAGATTATGCTGGCCTTAATTCAGAGATCTGCCTCGTGAGTGCTGGTGTGAGCCACCATGCTCACCTTGGTATCACACCAAAGCCCATACTGTGAGATGGTGACACACCAGCATGCTGACATTTAATGGCCCAGGTTGCTCCCGAGCAACAGCAAATACATAACTGGAGACAGCTAGGAAGCAGTGAATGGACACAGGAGGAGCATGCCAGCCCAGACTTTGCTCCCTTGTGGTCTAGCAGTGATGAGGGAATTCTGATCCGCACACTTGTTGCAGATAAGTCAGTGCTCAACTCAAAGCAGGCCTCAAAGACTGGAGGTGCTATTCTCCCCTCATTTGAAAGACTGATTTTCAGAATTGGGTCACAATAAATAACATCATCAGTAACACAAGAACTGAACATGAAAGGCCTTCTGAGACCCCTGACGAACCTGTACTTCTATGATACTGTTGTATTGTCTTCCTCTGTGGGCAAGGAAGGTGTGGAGGCTGGCCATCTCATGCACAAGATGGGTGGCCTCTTTTGTGTGAGCCAGCAAGTAGGGCCCTGCTTATAAAGACCTGTAGATCCTTTGTCCCACTTCTCACAAAGCACTGAGAGGCAACCCAAGGCCCCTTTACCTCAGTGGACTTATAAACAGCCAGAGTGTAACTCTGACCCATTACCACCAACATTGGCAGTTCCATTTGGTTTGACCTAAATGTTTATTGAAATGCAATATAGATTTACCAAATAGCTCAAAGCTCTCAGGCTCGGTGTCTGCCTAACCCCCCCCCCCCCATCTCATGTGGGCTCTGTATCTGGGCTCATGGTGAGCACTTCTGCTGGGACTGTGGGCACCTCACTGTTACTCCGTCATCCAACCCATTCCCGAAGCCCTACCCTCCCAGGTTCCCCTCACCACACAGCAAAGCCAGATTCTCAAGTCTCCTCCTGCCTCTAATGACCCAACCTAGTAGGTGACTATGTAGAGTAAGGTACAGCCTATGAGAACACTTAGGCCTGGAGGTTAGAATTCATAGGCTTCAAAAGTCTCATCCAAATACCCGGAGACCTCTGTGCACTGCTCTGTTCTTGGAAACTGACTCTGTCCAGCAATTAACCTCTATACAGGTGAAGGGTTAAAGTGTCATGGGCAACCCTGGATGAGAAACAGCTTATCTACATGCAGGGCCAGGAAACATGTGGGATGGTACGAAGAACTTAAAACCCTGTACTGGCAACCATGAAGCAAGGTCCCATTTCCTTCAGACCTCTCTCAGACCATGATGGCAATTGGAGAGAAGCCATCATATCATGAACTGAACATAGACTTGCTCTTGTGGTGCTGTGATATGTGACCGCCATTCCGCCTAGGGTCCTGTGTGCCACACTCCATCTTCATGCTGGATGATGTCTGGTTCCAGCTCCTTTCAGGGCCATGTTTATATTTAGGCTATAGAGTCACACAGCATCATCCTGGGGTTTTGTGCCACTTCCTGTCACCTAGGGTCAGTCTGTCCTGCCCATTGTGTTTTAAGCTACTTCCTGTGCAAAGAACTCTCCTGTCATTTAGCCCCTTCTAGATCTCGGGCTTTTCCAGCTTGCCACCTCCAGTGTGGGCAGCACAAGCAGGTATAAACCCAGTGAAGCTTGTGTACCAGCTTACATGAAGAGTTGTGTGGATGTAGAAGGTCTTAAGCTTACTGGGAAATCCAAACAGCCCATGCACCTGCTGGCCCACCAGCACGAGGTGCCACTAGATTAACAACAGCTGCCACTCACTGGACCTTCTTTCCACTTTGGGCACATCCAAGCAGCTGCTTCTTTCTTGCTGTACTCACAGCAAAGCCAGCAGCCTCCTGTGGGCTCATCCTCTGGTGACTGAGAACTTATGTCCTTCAGTCCTTAGAGTTATCATCAATCAGAACCCAGGTCACTAAAGACCCTAATGCAGCTGAGTGATGCTTCAGAGGGGCATGAGGTTGACTGGCAGGTGAAACACTGGCCAAAAAAAGTCTGACAACCTGAATTTGATCCCCAGAACCTACATAAAGGTGCAAGAAGAGACCCAACTCAAAAAAGTTGGTATCTGACCTCCAGACATGCACCATTTGCATGCATGTGTCTGCACATATTGCATGTGTATACATGCTAATAAAAATAAACCTAAGAAATTTAATAAAAGGGCAAGAGATGAACTAGGGTCTGGTGGTCCTTTGTTTGTTTGTTTGTTTGTTTGTTTGTTTGTTTTTCCAGTCAGGGTTCCTCTGTGTAACAGTCCTAGCTGTTCTGGAACTAGATCTGTCAACCAGCCTGGCTTCAAACTCACAGAGATCCACCTGCCTCTGCCTCCCGAGTGTTGGGACTAGAGGGGTGCGCCACTCCCGCCTGGCAGGTGTGGCAGTCTTAAGACTCCTGGTAGGAAACAGTCAAGCGGCCATAACCCTCAAAGTATAGGCACAGCTTAAAATAGCCATGTGTGATCTTGGACTCTAGAAAGATGAGGAAGGAGGAAGTGTTCCTTGTGCAAAATGTTTTGAGTTTTTGAACCCAGGGAGTATGATTTCAGGGTCTAATTGCTCTCTCCTCCCACAGCAGACTAAGGCTTTGTAACAGGCAGGTAGTGGCTGAGGTTCAGACCAGTGGCCACCTCTTTTGATTTGCTTTACAGCTAGCCTGATAATGACCACACACTGCAGGAGGTCAGCCCAATTCTCTGTGCTCCTGCAGGGTGTCCTGCCCACTTGGCAGGCTCTGTACTCCATAACGCTCCCTCTGTAATCTGAAAAAGCATTCCTGACGACCTGTACCAACCTCATTCTTCACAACGCTCTGCCACCTGTACACTGGGCTTTTTGGTGTTGTTGACTTATTTTTTGTTTGCATGTGTGTGCATACATACATGTATACATGTTCACACTTGTGTTGGGGAACGTGGGTGTGGTGCAATTGTACTTGTATGTGCATGTATGTGGAGACCAAAGGTTGAAATGAGGTATCTTCCTTGATCACTTTCCAGCTTATATACTGAGTCTCTTCCACTTGAACCAGGAGCTCATGTAGCTCTTCAGGGTGTCTCTGCACCCTGAGCATTCAAATTACAGATGGGCCAAGACACCCACCTACTATTTCAATGGGTTCTGGGACTGAACTCTGGTCTTCAGGCCTTCACCTTCCAAGTAGGCACTTTGCCCTCAGGGCCTGCTCCCTAACTATTGTGTGGTTATTTTTACCCTGTATATCAAGACTTCTTTTTTAATTTATTATTTTATTATGTATGCCTGCATGTATATCTGTGAACCATGTATGTGCCTGGTACCCACAGAGGCCAGAAGAGGGCATGGGACTCTCCAGGTATTGAGTTCAGTTGGTAGGAGGCACCATATGGATCTGGGAGTCTCACCCCAGGTCTTCTGGGGGAGCATGTGCTCTTAACCACTGAGCACCTCCCCACCCCAAAGGGCTTCTCCCACTCACAAGCCTTGCCTTCATTTTTGTTTTATTTTGTTTTTCGAGACAGGATTTCTCTGTGTAACAGCTCTGGCTGTCCTGGAACTCATTCT